TATTCCTGGTCATTACCAGATCAAACTCGGAAGAGGTTATGGCTTCGTTCTGCCTGAGGGGGATTTGATTTGTAGTCCCACGAGGAATATTATGTCATCAAACTATTTCCTCTCTATAACAGAATAAAAAGCAGGGTGTGTGAGAGGAAGAGGCAGCACGCAGTGCGACAGAGGCTGTGACTGGAGGGCATAGCGGCGAGCCCAAGTAGGCAGCTCAGCAGAAACCCTCTTCAGTCTCATCCCCACCACAGCCATCAGGGGGATCTTGGGGATGAAGTCATGAAGGCAGCATGACAAAGTCCTGGGATGAGGTGCAAGAAAAACCTAGTGCACTGCCAGAGGCTGGCTGTGCTTTGCATCTGTCACATGATGCTCAGGAGCATCTGATGCACAGCTGGGGATGGGCAGCATGGTGGAAAGCGCCTCACATGATGCTCAGGAGGTTTTGCCTGGCTTTCTGCAGGGCTGAGCCTGCAATGGGGAGGGACTGGAGAGCCTCTCTTCCCATCTCTCACCTTAGCTTTTGGCAAAACCATATCACCTAGTTTACCAAAGGGGGGGTTAAAAAGGGTATTTTATGACAAGATGCAGAATTTTGCCTAGTTTGCACTTTTCTCACTGTAATGAGCTTTTATGTGCCTGTAATGGTCAGCATGAGCCTCTTGAGAAACGAGGAGAGGAGAACTCTCATCTTCTCTGTCTCCTCCCCGCAGTGCTAAGCATTAAGTTAATTTTGCTGCATCTTTTGGCACTTTGCTCTGCCTCTGTCAGCTTTGCAATGCACCTGGCTCTGTGCTGCACTTGGTGTCTTTGAAGCTCTTAGATGAAAACAGGAATCGAAGAAAATGATTGCAACAACCTGTGTTGATGTGGTGTTTAAGGAGCAGTGAAGTGGAGCTAAGCCAGGTCCCAGCAGCAGGGCTGAGTTGGTCAGATCTTTTCCAAGTGTTCTTTTCTGTCCTTTTTTGAGTGTAGTCAAATATATTACTGCTTATTAAATGTGTACCTCCAGACAGGCTGCACACCTGCCCAATTGATTTTGCTCTTGGAGGCTTAAAGAAACCCTCTCAACCTAAAAATCTAGTTAGTTCAAGTCTGTTAACTGACTGAAGCAGCCTTGCTGAAGAAATGAGGCAGCTTAAGTGCACAAAGCTGGGGATGGCTGGCTGGTTTTTGTTAACAGGCATAAGAAAGTGGCCAGTGATCCCCCTCTGCCGAGTGGAAGGATGGGCTGCATTTGGGAGCCTCAGAAGGCTTCCTGTTAGTCTGCAGACAAGCCACTTGCCTGCATCTCATTGCTCAGTCAGGAGAAGACTTCTGCCATCTTCTCCTTGCCTCCTCTTTGCAGCTGGATGTGTATTTTGGGTCACTTTGTTAGTGGCCGTAGGCAAGGCTTTATGCAGCGAGTGCCAAATGGCAGGAGAAGACACAAGGAGCAGTAACACAGAGCAGAGGAAGCTTGTCCCAGTGCTGGTGGTCACTGGCATTTCCTTACAAGTGCTGCAGATGTGATGGGGACAGGAATGTAAACACTTAATCCTTGAAAACTTGGTGCTTTGTTTATAATCTAGGCAGTCATTCATTCTGCATCTGCTGCTTGGATCATCTTGCAGGGCATGGATTGTGAAATCAAGGAAACAAAATATATTTGCTCTTTCTAAGATGAGTTGCCACATCAGGTGGTGCTCCCTTACCAACAAGGAATAGCTGCCATGGATGAAGTGTGCAACTGTTTCTCCTAAAGACTGCAAGATCTAAGCTCTCATAACTATGATTTTTTTTTTCAGAAAATTGTTTGTCACAACAATTTCCAGGTACGGACGTCATGGGAATGAGACAGGTGATGTTGCCTGTCAGCAGCAGCAGCAGCAGCAGCAGCAATTGCTTCTTTTGCTGTCCGGCTCTGCCTGGAATCTCCGGTTTGAGCCTGCCCATTCTTGCCCAGTCAGTGTAACCCAGCCCAGCTCAAGGCTTCTGTGCACAGTGGGTCTTCACAGCGTTCTGCTGTGCCATCAGGGTGGTGACAGGCTGGCAAAGGGAGCACGCCCCCTCTTTTGTCCTCTCTGCAGTACCAGGGATAGGAGCATGGATCAGAGCTGATACCAATGGTGAGGAAAACACAGAGAGAAGGAGACATCTCTTAAGCTACTGTGCTTTGGTCCATAGAAAACTTTCCTAAGGACAAAGAGTACTTTGGGATGGCTGTTTCAGGACAGAGAAGATAAGCATCCACAGTGTCTTACTCTGCTCACAAGTGAGAACACGCTTAGTGGAATCTCCACAGAAAACTCCATCTGAAATCAGATGCTTGCCTGTAAATCATACATTGGGCACCTCCAGGCTGTGAAACAGGTTTCTCTTCCTAGGAGAGAAGTCTGGCATCTTGGCTGTCTGCAGATGGAGAAAGGAAGCTTAGGAATGCCACCTCTGCTTAGAAATTAGGGAGAGGGAGATGTTCCTCTAGTCTTGTGACTCTGAGCTGTGCCTTTATGATGTGCCAGCATAAAAAGGTATGAAAGAGCAAATGCAAAAAGAAATTACTCTGCCCAGCCCAGCAGCAAACCTAAAGGTAAAAGCAGAGAGAAGATGTGTATCAGGATATATCTCCACAGATGTGTCTCTGGGGAGAGACCATTACAGAAGTTCATTCATCCCAAATGAGTAAGCAGAGACTCACAATACAGCTCATTGCAAGGGTTTGTCTGACTCAGGGAATCAACATTTTACCAGTTTTGAGCCCTAAACCAAAACTGAACACCAGACTATGCTACTTTAGAGGCTGTTCCTCATCTTCCTAAAAGAAGATAAGCTTTCTGTCTAATGCTGCAGAAAACAGGGCACCCATTTTGTGAGCTCAATATATGGAGTTTGGTACTTCAGGTGTCAGCATCAGTGCTGGTCACAGCTTCACACTGGGGTGTCACTTCAGGAGTCTGTCAGCTCTTCCTCAGCTCAGAGGAACAGGGTGTTATTGCCAATGACCCTAAGCAGACCTGTCAGCCCAGCCTGTTGTGAAGGTGTGTGAGACATCCCACTGAAAGAACCTGGCTGTAATTGTCAGTTGTAATTGTAATTTTGCTGCTTTCCAAACTATTCAGGCTAAAATTTTGAGGATGAAATTTTTGCTTCTAGCAGAAGACATTCTTATTTAATTTAAACGGGCAATTTCTGCAAAATATGATCCATCTAGATTTGCAAGAAGAAGGATGAGGAGGAGGACAAATTGGTTATTTTACTTCTAAACTTAAAAAGCTCTTGTGATTTTCAGAGAACCCATACAGCTCCTACGCTTGGGAACACCAGCTTCCAGCTTTTTTTAGTTTGCTCTAGCGTGATACACCCAATTTCAACAACCCAAGTGTGACCCAATTATGAGACTTGAGGTGAAAAAATAATATTGGTGTCAATGGATATTTGTTAGAGTTTGGCAGGTGAAATGTGGTTGATGTTGAGTATCTGCTCAAGGGCTGCTGGGGGACTGTGAGTAAGGCTTTTTCTCTGGTTCTTGATGTCACAGGCCAAGCATCAGAGGTCTGTGCTTTGGATCTCAGGTATCCAGCCTCACTGATGATTGGTGGTGTATTGGGTTGGCATTAATCAACCATTTTCCCTGCACTCACAAAGCTCCTTCTCTGCTTTCTGGGTTGTTTTCTGGTGCTTGGTTGAGTTAAGTGGAACTGGGGTCCTAAGCAGGCAAAGACTCAGACCTAGCTCCACTTCCTGTAGAAGACTTGGCCTCCTCATCTTCTTACATTACAAGGAAAAGGCTGCTTTTCATTGGGGATGGGTTGCTGGTTCCAAGGGTGCCAGGTCTTGTGCAGACATTTCCCAGGCTGGCAGAGTACCCTGGTGATGTCCTAGTGCACTTCATATGTAATTTCATCCCATACTTGAAGTCCCATTCCAATTTCCCTAAGGCTCTTGCAGGCAGCATCTAGTCGGCTGTTCCTAGTGAGGTTCTCCAGATGCCCTGCAAAGAAAAATCTGTACATGCTGCCTTAATATTCCCCTCTTCCTTCTGTGGGGAAGGGAAAGCTTTTTATTTGAGATGCAAGGTGCAGGACTGGGGCTGCTGTAAATAGCTCTCTGCTTTGGTGAACCTGCTGTGTCAAAGAGGGACAGCCTTGTGGCCTTGCGACGAAGGCTAAGCCCATGAGCAAAGATTAGACCAGCAACTGCGGATTAGGGCATTTCTACCTGGACTCATCCTTAATTCTGCCTGATTTAAAATAACATGCAGTGGCAGTGGTGGTGACAGGTAGGGAGGACTCACAATGGCCCTGAAAAGTGGACCTGGAGTAGGGTCCTGGAGTAGAGTTTTGGCCTCTGAAATCTGTGGGGAAGGTTGGAGGCACCTATATGTTGGACAGAAGGATAGGTGCTGTCATGAAGTGGGCTGATGGAAAACTGGTGGAAAGAGGTGTGTGGCATGGGGAAATGGGGAGAATGGAAGCCCAGCAGAATGGAGCTGCAGAGCAAGCAGGGCTGTGGATTGTGGGAAGGTGGATGGGGAAAAGAACGTAGTAGCTTGATAGATAAAATCAGTGAACAAATGCATGGTAGAAACAATTAATCTCTTGAAGGGAAAGGAATGAGTGGGAGAGTAAGTGCAGACTAAGAGGATTTCCACTACTTGAAGCCATTGTATGCAGGCACCCGCACCAAAACCATATCCCAATTTATGCTCCATGTCACCTCCCTCTGTGTGTCTGTGGGAAGCCACCCTTACTCCAGACTGCAGCTGCTCTGCATCGCTTTAGGTCAGATGGATAAGAAGGTTCAATCTAAAAATGTCCTATTTTAAGTTAATCCTCAGAAATAAAATGAGACCATGTCAAATTCCCTGTGGCTACAACCCAGGCAAGGCAGCAGGGCAGGAGCTCAGCAGAGCAGAAAGGTGCTGGTGAAGGGTGTCTGTCCCCTGTAGAACTCTGCTCCTTTCTGCCGGTCCAGAGAGATGGTGCTTGCCCTGATGTGTCTCCGGCCTCCCTCCCCACCAGGTGTTCTCTATCGTGGTGTTTGGCTCCATTGTCAATGAAGGGTACGTGAACCGCATGGATGAGTTAGAAGAGCACTGCATTTTCAACCGCAATCACAATGCCTGCAACTATGGCATTACCGTGGGTGTCCTCGCCTTCCTCAGCTGCCTTCTTTACCTGGCTCTGGATGCCTACTTCCCGCAGATCAGCAGCGTCAAGGACCGCAAGAAGGCAGTGCTCTCGGACATCGGAGTCTCAGGTGAGCTTCCTCCTGGCTTATTCCAGCCATTCAAGCAAACTGCTCCGTGTCAGGCTCTCCCTGGAGTGTGTCAAAGGGGCCAGGAATGGAGTGAGAGCAGGATCAGGTGAAGCACCTGAATTTGCAAAGGACTTCAGGCTTGCAAGTTCTTTCACAGTTAGCCCCTTGCCTAGCAATCCTATGTACAGCTGACAAGACAAGGGGAAGGATTGTGCCCTGTTTTTCTGTTGCTTTGGGATGCGCATTTCTCTCACTGTGCTTGGCAGAGGGTCAGTACCTTCTACCTTCACCCCTTTCCTGGGGACACAACATGTTAGTGATCTTTCAGCACCTTTCCTTGATGTGAGTCCCTGAGCTGTTCTGTCCTGAGTTACAAGCTGGTCTCTGTGTAACTGCAGACCAGCTGCTTCCCACTCTTTTGCAGCTCCTGTGGAAGGAATTGCTCTTTGCTTGTCCTTGCAGGACAGGTTTGTGAAGCAGTGGCTGTTTCATAGAGCCCAGGTGATCTCTCTAGTACTGGAAGCCCTTCAGGCTCCCTCCCAAGGCCAAATGCAAGTCCTGTGATCAATCCAAACACGAGCAAATGAACTCTCCTGAGGTGCTTTCTGCAGACACCTCTTGGTCACCTTGATAATTTGCTGTCATGGAGCCTGCCAGCTCACTTGGGCTCAGACTGGCTGAGCAGTCAGTTTGGCTCAGTCTGCAACATTGTGGTGGGTCTCAGAGGATTGAAATTTCCAGAGAAATGTAATACGTCTATGTTATGCTCACACATGTCTTCTTGTCTTTGTCCTTCCCTTTGGTATGCCGGTGGTGGTCCATCCCAGCCTTTTGGGCATTCCTCTGGTTCGTTGGCTTCTGCTTTCTAACCAACCAGTGGCAAGCTTCAAAACCAGAGGACAACCCACTGAATGAGGGAGGAGATGCAGCCCGAGCAGCCATCACATTCTCATTCTTCTCCATCTTTACCTGGGTGAGTACAGCCATGATGTTGGATCAAATTCCTCTGTGCTGTATTATCTTGTGGGGAATGAAAGGTGACTGGCTAAGAGTGGTTCCCTCTGGGATCTCAGTTCACATGGCTTCTGAGAAAGAAAAGCAGGAGAGGAGGTGGTTGGGAACTAAACTTGGGAAACGGGGACTCAAAAACTTATGTGGAAGAAGGTTTTTTAATATGGCCTTGGACAAGCCAGCTCCCCAGCCACCATTGTCATAGAATCATACAATAATTTGGGTTGGAAGGGACTTTTAAAGGGCATCTAGTCCAACCCCCCTGCAAAGAGCAACTAGATCAAGGTGTCTCAGAGCTCAGTTCAATCTGACTTTGAATGTTTCCAGGGATGGGGCATCTACCACCTCTCTGGACAACCTGTTACTGTTTTCCCTGTGTGTCAGAGGACTTCAGCAGCATTTTCACCTTACAGACACTAAACAGAGAAGGGACCTGCAGGCCAGGGGTTGCACCCATCTCCCTTCCACCTTTGCTCCCATCATGCAAGATGTCATCGTTGTTCTTCTGGATTCTTTACCCACCACTGGACTGCCACCTCACTGGGTCACCTTTTAGGAAGGTGATGGTGCTGTCTTAAGACTGCCCTTTGCCCAGCAGTTCTTTATTGCTAGTTTCCTAGAAAAACTGTTGGGTGCAATATGAATATCTCTGATGACTCCCTCCTGCCTCTGAGAGCACCAAGCACAAGTGATTTTTTTGTCAAGTGACAGGATAGTGCCAAGCAAGAAAGCATTTTAACCTTGTCTCCACACATAAGCCCTTGGGGCTTTATCTTCTCTTCTTCCTACAGGCCCTATCTGCAGGGGCCAGATAGGAAAGGTCAGAGCTGTCAAAGAGGAAGGGGGGCTGCAAAGGCTTGTGCTGTCAGCACATGGTGACAGCACATGGTGACACCGAGCAAGATTGAGGAACAGCAGTGTGTGTTCCCTTCATGAGCTGTGTCCTGCACTTGAGTGCTGCCAAAAGTCCCTTGAAAGCTCCAGCAGAAAGTGAGACAAGGACCAGGGTTTTTGCAAGGGATCCCTCAGGACACTTTGGGAGGTGCCATCACCTGCAGAGATCCTTTCCCATGCACAGGCTTGCAAGTGGCCAAACAGGCATCCTCTTCCCCTGGTTCCTTGGGGTTTGTTTTTATTTTAGTCAAACACTCTGATTTGCTCTACCTTACTGATTCTCCTTCCCACACCACTCTCTCCTCACAGGGCTTCCTGGCATTTCTGGCTTTCCGGAGACTCAGAGACATTAATTTTCAGGAGGAATACAATACCCTGTTCCCTAACTCCCCATCCTTGCTGCCTTAGTGCCCCTTGCTGATGGGAGAATTTGGGGGAAGGGGTGGAGGGATGCAGCTGGAGGAGGTCACTGAGCAGAGCTGGTTCCAATGCCCTGACTATGAGTGTGTGGTCACTGCAGGGCATGGGATGGGAAGATATGGGCCATTGGATTGGTGTGAGGCTGTCCATTGAACAGGGCATCTCCCTCTGGAAGGTTGGAACTGGCAATTTCTTCTCCTCTTCTGCTCCCTTCTCTCCCTCACCCGTACCTTAACTAATGCTATGTAACACCACTGTGCCTTTATTTGATGACTGCTCAGACTTAATACTTCAGCCAGGAGATGCCCTCTGCTCCCATCGTTTTATCTCTTCCATTTCTTCCCAAACCTCATTCCCCAAAAATCTCTCCCCCATCACCTGCTAGACTGCTCACCTCTCAGGGATGCTCTGGGACAATGAGCCATGCCTGCTGAACCCTGTGCCACCCTGCTCCCCCAGTCCACCAAAAGGTTCCCTGCCTGCAGTGCCTGAGGCAGGAGACAGCAGTTTACTTGCGAACTGTCCCCTGGTTTGGGAAGCAGCTGCCTTGCTTCCTGCTGCTCCTTCCCAAGGTCTGTGCTACATCTTGCAGATGTTGACTGATGAAAGTGTTTCAGGGGGTAACCTCTACCTCAGTACTTGGTGTCAAGTCCTGCTCTCCTTACTGGCCTTTACAAGTTAAATGGCCTGGTACACACAGCCCAGCAGGTGAGCCCTCTGGTGTTGCTGAGGCAGATTGCCTTCCCACAGCCAGGAGGGGTTGACTGGGATAACCACGTGCCAACTGAGCCTCCGCGACCCGTGCGATGTTGGTGAAACTCCATCGGCAGACAGGGGGGTGCCCTGAACATCCCAGAGAAAGCAGGGAGCCTTGGCAGGCTGCACACAGCCAGCTGGTCTTGCAGCCATCCTTGCCCAGTTCTCTTCTCTCCTTGTGGGCTCGTGCTTTCTGTGGGAGAGTGTGGACTTCCATGCTCTTGGGGCATTTCACCAGCAATCTGCCAGGTGGGCCTTGCACACTAATCCATAACCACTACTAACACCACTTTTGTTTGTTTCTCTCTTCCGGTACGTTCCTCCTCTTTTTCCTCTTCCCTTCCCTCTGTGCTTCCCATCTCCTCCCTTCACCTCCTCCCTTAAAGGTGGGCCAGGCATTCCTGGCATATCAGCGTTTCCAGCTGGGTGCCGATTCGGCCCTCTTCTCCCAGGACTACATGGACCCAAGCCAGGACTCCGGCATGCCTTATGCTCCCTACACGAACGAGGAGGATGCTACAGATGCGGTGGGGACATACCAGCAGCCCCCTCCAGCAGATGCTTTCGACACCGAGACACAGGGGTACCAAACGCAGAACTACTGAGCCACCGATGCCCCTTTCCCTTCCCCTTTCCCTTCTGCCCCTGCTCCCACTGCCGGCAGAAAGCCGAGGCACAAACAAGACATGTGCAGAGTGGTACAAGAGGTGGCTCTCAGCTATGCTCCAGCCTTCTGGGTCATCTGTTTTTATTTATTGTTTTTAAAAAAGGCAAAAAAAAAAAAGGAAAAAAGGTTTCCCCATCACCTATTCCTTCTCTCCCACCAAGCTACCTGCCAGAATCAATTTTTTCCAAAATCTGCATTTTGATAGGAAGGTCCCTCCTTTCCTTCTCTCCCTCCTGTCTTGTTACAGAGGGCAGAGTCTGTCTTGTGGACAGGAGAGGAGCTATGGCACTGGCAGGGCAGGGGAAAGGGTGTTGGAGGCAGAACAGAAGAAATGAGAGGGACTGGGGACCTTCCTAGAAGAGGTGGTATCACTAAAGGTTGGAGTAGATGTGGGAGCATCCAAACTGGTCTGGAGCACCTGGTGGCTCAGGGAGGAGAATGGTATTGGAGTCAGCATTGAAGAGTGTGAGGAGGGGCCTGGATCAATGTCCTCCATGTAAAGACAGGGGGGCTTTTCCCTGCCACATGCTAGTGAGGGAGGGGTGCTTTATTTTTAGAGGGTTTGGGAGAAATGGTATTGGGGAGGGGGAGGAACACAAGGAGAGAAAATGGGAAGGGAAAACAGAAGATTTGCAGGTACAATCAGAAATCACAGGCCCGTCTGTAGGTTATAGCAAGAGACTTAGAGGAGTGGAGGGGGAGTGCTCTGAGATTCACTCCTTCCTCAGCCCCCATGGATTCCCCTCACCTGTTCATCCTGTTAGTCACTGCTTTTCCCAGACCAGTGTTTGATGAGGCAGGAGGGGAGCCATACACAGTCTCTGGGCCCAGATACAGTGCCTGTGGGAGGCAGGATGGAGGAGGTGAGCTTCTAGAGGGCCCTGAGAGCCTTCAACCCCAGCTGGGCTGGTTCAAGGGGGAGAGGGCAGCTTTGTCATTTCACCCAGGGCAGGAGGAGGAGAAGGATAGTTTTGCTACTTAGGTCCTGCTGAACCTTCCTCTATTCCTCTGTTCCTTTACAATAGTACAAAGCCTCTTGCTGACACCATCTTTGTAGCACACAGGAATGGAGCAGGACCCCACTTAGAAAGAAGTACTGCTGCTGGGATGGCCAGCAGGTGTCTGGCTCTTGCAGAGGGGTGCAGGGAAGGGTGCAAGCTGGGAAGGGTCCTACCCTGTACGGCTGCGCTTTGCCTCCCACTCAGATAGGGAGGCGATCTTGGTGTGCAGAGAATTGATTTGGGCCAGACTGAGTTGTCTGAAAACTGGACTTTCTGTACTTGCCATAGACCTTAGTCTATGATCTTAGTGCTCTTCTGCAACATCTCAGATCCTGGCTGACTTAAAAGCCTCGACTAGGTGGCAGCAGTGACTCTTAGAGCTTCTATGCTCTACATTCCACACTGCTCATGATTTTGCTCCAAGTAAAGACACAACTGTGGAAGCCCACTCTCTGTTTCAAGTTAGAAGTTAGGTCTGCGTGTGAAGACAGATTCCCAGATTTCCCCTAAATGGAAATAAATCAGCAATAGCTACCTAGGCAATTCTCCCAGGCACAGACATATCTCAGAGCACAAGAAGCAGGCTTTACCTTGCAGCAGTGAGGAGGTCCATCCCCCAGGCAGTCACCCTGCTTGATGCAACACTAGTCTCAGTGGCAGAGATCAGGAACAGATCCAAAATCTGTTGGTGCCCACAATGCACATTCAGCCTATTCCTCATATTCCCCCTAGGAGTGGGGAGAATGGGACATAGGTCTGGCTTGTGGCTGTGTGAACATCTCATTTGGAGGACACCAAGGTTACCAGTTCTTCCCTCCTCCCAGTGCCCCACAAAGATAGGGAAGGGGTAGAAACTGTAGAGCAGCAGGCCCCCAGAGGGAAGTCGAGCAGTGTTCTCCTCTCTACACAGGCACTGTTTCTCCCTGCTCCTACCAGCACACTTGTGCTGCCAGTGGCTGTCCCCATGGCTTGTCCTCCACAGGCTTGCCCTTCCTTGGTGGTGGTTACCCACTGGTGAGGACAGGAGCAGGGGATCAGGTAGCCCCTAAGGACACAGCAGGAATGACTGGGCACAGGCACACATCCCTTGCTCTGTGGCTATAAGTGAATGCAATACTGTAAATAGGAGAGGTGCTTTTTGGAAGGAAGCCCCTCGAGCTTCAGTTTCTGTGGGTTCAGCCTAATATTTAGGCTTGGGATGGGTTTACTTTATTGAGAGAGGTTTGTTGTGACTGGATGTGGGGGGACACCCTCCTGTCTGTCTCCCACCAGGGGAGAAGAATGATTGAATGACAAGGTGGAGGAGGAGAGAAATTAGTTGTACTCACCCAGACTCATCTGCGTCATGCTTTCCTTTGAGGTGTGGGGAGGGAACCAAGAGGATGTGGAGGCTGTAAGTAGCCATCCCTCAGCACAAAAATGTGTTGTACCTTCTGGGAGATCCCTCTCTGTGAGTGACTAGGCACATAAGGAGAGGTATGGGCAGTATGTGGGGGATCTGTTTTGGGGTGTGGTGCAGGAGCAGCTTGCATGCCCCTCCTCCCATCAGAGTTACATAGGTGTCTAAACACCATTTGGGGCTGACTAATGAGCAAGCTTTTCTTTATCCTCTTGGGCTTGCTTCCCTCATGTAACCAGCTGATGGGCTGAGGTGGGATTGAGGCAGGAATGAGCCTCCCCCTCTGAGCACCACTTCAGTGAGACATGAGCCAGGTGACTTCATCTTGGGTTACCTCCCATCTCGCTCTTCTCCTTGCTTTGTGTCATAAGAAAAGCATTAATGTGACAGGGCACTCTACAACATTAGATACTTAGACAACTTGTTTTGCTCATGGGAGAAGACATACTCTGCTTGGGTTCATGTGCTTTCAGCCTTTGCAGTGGAGGGTTGGTGGTGACCGACCTGGGAGTGGGATTCTGCTTGTTTGCATGTAGCCCTTTAAAATGCAGAGTGCAATTTCCATTGGCATTTGGCTGGTTCTGTAGCTGATGAGACATACAGACCTACCTAAAGGGCTGGTTATCTTATCTTAGGTGGTTTTGATAAGGCACTGCCTATTTCTGGTGATCATAGGCAAGACCTGAGCAGCTGACTGGAACATGTCCCTTTTACATTCTAAGTGTGGGTGAGATCAGCCCTGCTCTAGAGATTAGGAGATCAGAGGGGAGGCTGTATAAGCAAAATGATAAGGTGGCTTTCTTCCCCCTCTGCCATTTGTTCCAATTAGAGATCCCCATTATAGGATTACACATCCCTTATTGGGAGCAATGGCCCCTTGATGTCTTCTTATCTTACGAAGCCCACAAGTAAGGGACTGTTTTGTGGAAGCAGAGGCTGTGAAGGGCAAAGAGATGATGAAACCTTGCCCCAGTTCTGTCTGTGGATTCAGCCTCCTGATGTGTCCCCATCCCTGGATCACCCATATCCCCATCACCCTATTCATCACCTCATTACATGCCCTTCCTCTCTGCGTTATTCCTGGCAGTTCCCACAGGGGAGGAGGTGTCTTTGTCCCTGTACCCTTGCAAGCACTTGGGAGGACCCAGGAAGGCAGCATTGCAGGGTGGTTCCCACAGGAGTCTCAGCTCCCATCCCCAGAGCAGGTACAAGGTAAGGAACCCAGTGAGGCCACCTCATGCAGCAAGTTCAAACCATCCATCCAGACAACTCCCTGCTGCCTGTGTGGCATTTGTAACACCACCTGGGCTGCCCTGCCCCTTCCCCTGCCACATTACTGCCTGTGTATAGTATATATATTATATATATATATTTAAAAAGATGTATAATATAAAGCTATACATATATGCGTATATACGATGACTCATGGATGGCCTGCCGCATACAGGATCCTCTGAGTGGTCTTGTCTAAGCCCGAGTGTCCCTTCACCCCTCCTCCCCCTCCCCCTGCCCCTCTCCGTTCCAAAATTCAACTACAGCAAACCCCGCCACCTCGGCACCTGTGTTTACAATGTCCTATATATTTGTGGTTAACAAAGTGAAGGTGGTAACTACTGGTGTCTCAATAAAGTTATGACGTTAAAAATAACCATACTATATGGAAAAAAAATAATGGTCTGGATTTTCTTCTTTGGGGAGGGATGCAGTTTTTAGTTTGGTTTGCTACAAGACCATTGGCTCCTGTGCTTCTGCATGGCCAAGCTGGCAAGTTTAGTAACAATCAGTGGCTTGGATGGAAGAAAGAAACCTAAAGAATTGCCCTTATTGATATGTTTCAGTGGAAGCTAATGGTCACATGTTTTACTTGGCCTAAGTTTCAAATCACACACAACATCAAGTGTCTCTCAAGTAGGAAAACTTGAGGAACCTGACATGCCATGTTAGAGGTGAACTCTCACTGTGAAAAGGATGTTGCAATAGGGGGTGTGGATGGGGGACTTAGAGGAATATAGGATACAAATCCATATGAAAATAAACACCTGTATTTCCACACCCAGGGAAGCAGATCTGTTTAGTCCTTTGATGTGTCTTTATCTCTGTTCATCTCTGTGTGACCATTGCTCAGGTGTCTGGTGTACTGCAGGTTTTCAAAACAATCAAATCGTGGGAAATGAGCTCTCAGGGCCACAGTGGGTGTCAGTGATTGGTAGCCCACCACTAAAAAGGATCTTGTTTCAACAGGCTTTGCAATAAAAATGAAATTCAAAATCCCATCCTGTGCTGATGCTTAGCTAAAGCTTCCTTCTCATCCCTTTTTAATGAGTCTGTCACCCGAGTACCTGAGTATCACATTTCCCAACCTTTGTGAGGTTTGAGGACAGTAAACAGGCACATGATGGTGAGCAG